CCAAAATCCAATTTGGATGGCTTGTTCACCATTTTATTTATTTATTTATTATTATTTTATTCTATATTTTTATAGCACGACTTGTGAAGCATCACTGATAACACTGAATTTGCACATGTTTTTACCCCTCATTTCTTGATTGTTTAGCTTGGTGTTTATTATACTTTGGCCTATTTTACACTAGGTTGTGTTCCTTTGTCACATTTCAGGTCCTATCATGTAAAGTGAAGCATAGGAGCAAGTTTCAAGTCAATCGGAGATCAATTGGTGACTCGGGGGAAGAAACTCGGGCATGACCCAAAGAAGAATGGAGATCAAGTTCCTAGCTGTATAAATGCGTTTTTGCGGATTCTGAAGGGGGAGAACTGGGTTTTGGATCCCAAACACCCAAGGGACGAACCCTAGAGAGAGAGCACCTTTGGAACATTCTTGGAGCTATTTTGGAGGATTTCTTCGCCATTGGAGCTTGGGAAACAAGCCTGGAGATGGAGATTGAAGATCTAGATCAGATTTCTGCATTCTCTCTCTTCTCTATGGAGTGACTTCCCTTCACTTAGGTTTTGAGGAACCCTAGATTTGCATGCTAGGAAGAGTTGTATGAACTCAAATTCATGATTGATTGATGTTTTATATTCAGTTGAGGCATTGATTCAGAATGACTTGAGTCCTTATCAAACTTTTGTGATTCCTACTTTAACCTAGAACGATAGTCTCTGCATAGGTTAATAGAGCAACCTCAATTGGAAGTAGTGGATCGATTGCTTTAGTCGAGAAATTGATTCCCCTGTACTGGAATCAAAACTAGTAGAGGAAGTTTTGTGTGCTTTGCCTTGGTTAGCTTACGCCGGTGGAAGTTAGTCGCCCGCCGGGTATTCGAACCGAGAGGGTCTGTATAACTTAAGTCGAGAGTCCAGACCAGTTAAGAACTTTCTGAGGTATATCTGTCAACTGAATTGGATTGGGTGAATTACAACTTGGCCTAACTGCAGACTAGAGGGAATCATACCTAAGTGAGTTCCCAACCTGTAATTAGTAGGTTTACCTAGTTTAGCTAATAGATTAGTTTAGTTAATCAAACCTCAATTTGGTTTGTTAGATAATGGACTGAAGCTAAGTAATAGTAACTCTAGAGACTTGTGGATTCGATATTTATTACTTGTGAGACTATAATGAAGTCTCTTTCATTGGTTACACTTGGCCATTGTTAGGAGTTGTGTTTTAACAAGTCAATCACCACTCGCCATAGCCCTTAGCAGTAACTAAGGATCGATATGTATTCACTCACTGCCAATTCCATTGGTCAAACCATACAAGACATCCATACATCACGTGGCTTCCTCTTTTCAAATAAGATGTACACACTGGAGTGGCATACTCCATCTTCATGTCACGTTACAGTTCATGGTTTTTGACACGCGTGCTTGTGGCCTCTTTCTTATGTTCTCGAGTTATCCAACTAGTTTTTCTTATTTGTGCCATCGATTCATGTTATTATAAGTCGCTCTATGAGGCACACCATGCATTCCCAGTTCTTTTGGGTGAGAAGGGAAACGACGAACACCTCTTTGCGTTGATTTTTCCCAAACTAATTCATGTCTACTCTTCACATAACTTTGAGGGGATGGATACTTAGACTTTACAAGTCCTTCGCCACCTACATGGCTCATTTTTCTTTGTATCCTGATCCCAAAGTCTTGTTGACTCCTACACTTAGCACACAACCACCTTTGATCCTTTGTTTCATCAAGTTTCGTTGGTGCATATTGAGGCTTCTTGTGCATGCCACCATGTCCATCAGTGTTGAATCCAAAGAAGGGGCGAGTCTTATTGATATTATCTAAGCCACTACCAATTTTGTCATCGGCATATGTAGGTTCTTTAACTTTTTTACCAGTCAAGCACGACAAGTTGGATTGACCACTACTTTTATCATGATATTGTGGACTATCCATCGAAATGGCTAGATACCCAACTTTCTCATTAACCAATTGTGGGTGATTGCCTCAACCACAAACTTGGGCAGTGCTTACTGTTTCAATTTTTTCATTCACCAAATCTGTGTCGCTCTACAACAAGATTTTTTCTGGTACAATGGATGCATCATGCATAATTTCATACTTTGACATTTCAATATCACAAACATATCTATCAATCATCATATCACAGGCTTTATCAAAGCTTTGTTCGAGATGATCAAAATGCTTATATATAGAGGCAATGTAAGGATTTACCTATTGGTAGATTCTACAAAGTCAAACCACCATTTGCTGAATCTCCTCCATCCTTCGACGAAGTGAGGGCATTGCTTCACCTGGATCTGCGTTTGGCGCCAAGGGTGACACCGCTGTTTCAATAGTGTTGCCTGAAGTCCCTCCAACTTGGTCACTTTCAACATTGACAAACTTCTCCTCCGCCACAAAACCTTGTGGAAGATCATCTTCTTGCTGCCTCTATCGCGAAGCCATACCAAACACACATGTCCCACCAGGTGTGACAATTTAATTTTTGTGTAAAAACGAGTGGATGTGTTGCGCCTAACTTCTATGAAAATGACTATTGTTACTGCGGTCCACACCTCTTCAAACACTGTTCGGACGAGGGTATTTGGTGTATTGAGAATCTAATTTACCTTACACTACTCCTATAGTGATTCCTTGAGAGATCCGTGACTACAACTAAAACTACTGCTATGGAGGATCGCTCATGGAACAGAGCTCTGCAAACTATAGAGAAAAAGGAAAAAGTGTCAGTTGAGACAAGTTTTCTATCTCTTGGGTTGTCCTTGTCTTCTTGCTCCAGAAGGTTGCTTCAAGTATTGTTGCCAGAGTTAACAAATTGCTCTCTCTCTCTCTCCTCCTCATCCCGAAAAGTAGCTCCGCTTAACCTCTACGCTAGTCAGTTGCCATATTTCTATGGACATGTGATCATATCATAACAGTCATCCACCACGTCGTCACTTTGGATTGGATGGTAACCATAACATTGGATGGTTACCATACATCAACCTGATTGGTACCATCTAGTTGGTATCCATGAATGAGGGATAATACCATCCACTTTGGGATTGGGATGATATTGATGATATTTGGGATGATATCATCCACCATAGGGTTGGATGGTATTCATTATGTGTGATGGGCACCATCCACTAAGAGGTTGGATGGTGTCCACTATATGAAACGGTACCATAGCCATAATATTTGGGATGGTATCATCCATCTAAAGGCTGGATGGTAACCATAATGTGAGATACACCATTCACGAAGAGGTTGGATGGTGTCCACTATATGGGATGATATCATCCACTTAGAGGTTGGATGGTATCCATAATGTGGGATGGTCACCATCCACTAAGAGGTTGGATGGACACCACTATATGAAATGATACCATCCACTTTGAGGTTGGATGGTATCCTTGGGACTAGACACATGGTAACCAAGTACTGGATGGTCACCCAAGTAGGAATCACAATGGGACAGGTTCGGAGCGATTATCACGATACCCTTACACGCCTCGTGGCTCGGATAATTTATCATGGGTCACTGGTTGGGGCAGGTCGACCCAATGGATATGCAATTTATAAGAAAAACATTAGAAATATTCGTTAATTTCATTAAAAGACCAAGAAAACAAACCATATTATGATAAATGTGATTAAATTATTCGACAAAAATTGAGGTTTTCACTAATTTACAACTTTATTGTAGTTAAAATATGATGTAATAAAAGAAAAATCATAGGTAACTTGACTAATAATACATGTAATTTAGGCAAGAACGGATCGAGAATGAGATGGGTCGGGCAAAATCGAGTCGATGAGAGTACCATTGTCCGTCCCGCTCCAAAACAGGTCGAAATTGCTATCCTACACCCAAGTAGTACTTTACAAGGGGAAAATATTTTGATGTCAACAAAGTGCCACCGAAATATTGTTGGTCTAATGTCCAAACGGATGGATCTGAGAAGTAACCCTGGTCAATAGTGGCAGCAGAGGGATTACTTCAAGATCCTCAAGGCAAAATGCTTAAAAGCTTTTCTGCCCAACCCATGAACCTGGACTATCACGAGAGAATAAATTAAGGGGGCCGTATATGGATTGCATATAGCTTGGATGAAAGTTATCTTCTCAACCCGATTTAACCTGTTAGCACAGTCGAATAAGTAGGTTGAGTATTAATGATCCAATTATTTTAGTCCAGATATATGAAATAAATCATTATATTGTTCATACATTTATAAATCATATAAAATCTTATTTGAGTAATAACAATAGCATTACATAAAATGATAAAAATAACATTTCATATTTGGATCCAACTAGGGGTGTGCAACGGTTCGGTTCGATCAGGACCGGACCAAACTCATGAGAACCGTGATCCATTAGTGAAAGACATGTTAGGACCAAAGACCGGACCATTCTTGCATTCGGTCCATTTGGTCCGGTTCGGTCCAGTCCAAATATGAGCTCGGTCCACCATTTCTTCAGTAATTATAAAATTCATTAGGACCAAGGACCGGACCACATTTTACTCGGTCTGGTCCGGTCCGGTCTTAACAACGGTTTGGTCCGGTACGGACCGGACCATTGCACACCCCTTGATCCAACATATAGACACATAGCAAATCAAAAGGAAACCAACATATATACACATATAGCAAATCAAAAGGAAAAACGAAAACGTGTGCATTCCAATCCGGTAACCTTACAACAAATCGACCCAGTGGGTATGTGACCCATTTTTCTCACCGAGTTAGGGTAAAAATGGATCAACCGAAGGGTCAACCCGCAGGTTGACAATCATGTGAGTTCACCTCAAAATGGACTCCATGACAAGATTCCACATCCTCACATCAGAAGACCGAGAAGATCATAGGTATTACAATCGAGTCCAACAATTCCAGGAGCTTATTTATAGAAGATGGGAGGTAAAAATCTCTCGTACGTATAGAGAATGTACAATGCAAAAAATTACTTGGTCGATAAGGATAATTTGTATAACTTTGATTTGCATATGTTTGATAGCTCGGATACAGACCTATCTTTTTTAATCTTGTATGATACTATAAGCATTGCTCACATTCGTTTAATTTAAGGTTTAATTTAAGTGTCAGGCAAGAGCACCCTTATAGTCTGCCCCTTTTTAGTTTTTACACACAAAAACGATTAAATTTGAACAAATGACTCATGCAAACAACCCCTAAACCTTTTAATTAGCTGAAACTAAAGTTACACTAACGGAGAGCGTGTACGCAGAAGACAAATTCAGCAACCTTGACATTTCAATGACAACTTGATTTTCTGCCAAAACTTTTTACCGTTCAGGATCATGAAGATTCATCAATCTGACCCGACATCAACTCCTTTATCCTTAAGAAATCCTTTTGCCTCAGCAATGTCCTACAAGAAGAAATAACAAGTCAGTTACTCTAGAAGTTTTCATGGTTTATGCCTTCTGAAGGAACTCAATTCATTTAACAGTTTTGGCTGCAGTATCCTAAGACATGTCAGCACTGTCAACACACAATCTCCAAATTGAGGCTATAGGCAAATCAGTGCAAGAGAGTATATGAATATGACTGGTAACTGTTTGAGATCCTAGAACTTCCAGTAGGATAAAAGAGGAAACAAACTTTGTTGGAAATCATCAGATCAAGAGGGGCGTGTGATTGCAATCTTAACAATCCAAACAGTTAGCACAAGCGGACATTACCTGCTGTAACAGCACTGCTTCTTGAGGGCAAGTTGGAAATTGCATTAACCCAACTCCAACCATCAGCAAGCCATAGCACCCCAATGACACAACAAGATAGATTGGCAGCTGCAGCCAAAATCAGGAGATGTCAGCAAATAGGTTAGTACATTATTAGTTGTCAATCATCACTGGAGAGTAATTCCTCCATCCTAGATCATCAATCTGGTAACACTCTGATCGTTTGCCTCCATTTCTTCAGAATAGGATTCAACCAAATCTAAGTTCAGTCCTCTATTCAAAGTCAATTCAAACAACTAAGTAGGCAAGTTAATTCCTTCCACTATCACTATGACATGTGATGTTGGCTCTAGACTTCAAACTCAGGTGATTCGGATATCTGCATTGTCTTAACTACTAGGCCGATCCCTTGGGGTCTGCATAGCAGCCATGAGTTGCAGCCCAGTTAACGTGACCAGCTGCCCTGAATAATCATGTACAGAAATCCTCTCATCTCTTCTGTGCAATATATTTAAATGTATCGCATACAATTTAATTATTTAAGTTATAGATGTTCTAAGTTAAGATCATCATAAGAAGTTCAAGAAGATTCATCTATTCCAATATGAAAAAATGACTACATAATAGGAGTATTCATTTATTAGATCCCCAAAAACATGCATACGGACGAAGTGTAAATTTATACCCCCTCAAAGGCTAGAAAAACAAGAGAACGGAGCAAGTGTGGCATATAGCAACTCGCACTTACCAACCAAGTATGTGTACGCGGAATTATAGATGCCTGCAAGAGGCCAACCCAGAAGGCAGAAATGGCAGCAAGCAGTGAAATAATCTTGAAAATATGCTTCATTGGAGAAAAGGGTGCGCCTTTGTCCTGGGAATAGGTAAGTTTTCCAAATGTCAGCATAAAGTTACAGTTACTGATTCAAGGAGATGTGAGGGTAGACTAGCCAGTTATCATTCGGATATCCTGGACCAAGGATGCATCTAACCAGTTGAAAAAAGAAAGCCATAACATAACAGCAATACAGCATAAAGAGCGACGAGATGAAGAAACATGAAGCAATGGTAAGCACACACAAAAAATGCCTCTCATCGATCAATTTGCCATCAGGAAGACTATTTTGGTAGGATTCATTCTCATTCGCTCCATTTTTATGGAACTCAAAGCCCTTGCGCAAAATTATCCCCAAATCATCATCTGGCAATCACTTTTATTCTTCAATACATAACAGCAATACAGCATAAAGAGCGACGAGATGAAGAAACATGAAGCAATGGTAAGCACACAAAAAAATGTGTCTCATCGATCAATTTGCCATCAGGAAGACTATTTTGGTAAGATTCATTCTCATTCGCTCCATTTTTATGGAACTCAAAGCCCTTGCGCAAAATTATCCCCAAATCATCATCTGGCAATCACTTTTATTCTTCAATACATAACAGCAATACAGCATAAAGAGCGACGAGATGAAGAAACATGAAGCAATGGTAAGCACACAAAAAAATGTCTCTCATCGATCAATTTGCCATCAGGAAGACTATTTTGGTAGGATTCATTCTCATTCGCTCCATTTTTATGGAACTCAAAGCCCTTGCGCAAAATTATCCCCAAATCATCATCTGGCAATCACTTTGATTCTTCAATACTTGAGGGAACAACAAAGCAGAAGGCATGTGGCTGACAGAAGACAAAATCCCTAGTTAGAGATGAAAGAATCACGAAGCATACTACATCGGCCAACCACAAAACTCGAAGACAGAGCAGACACTTTCAAATCTTACAAAGAGGGGGGCAACACTCAGAGCAGTAGGTAGTTTGACGAGAAAACAATTTCACTCATCGGAAAATTAGCTCCTACCAGAAGCGGAGCGAACAGAAGAGCTACGAGAGCATGGAAACAAAAGGAAGTGCCGAAATGATGGAGAAAGAAAAAGAGACAAGAGGCAGTACCTGAGGGAGGTTGAGAGATTCGGATCGTATAGAGGTCCGGCTGCGAGCGTGCGAGAGAGAAAGAGATGTGAGAGAAAGGTGGCGGAGGGTGCAGCTTGGCCGGTAGTAATGGCGCTTTCTCTCACCTCGGCGGTGGGGGTGAAATAGCGGTTTCTAGGGTTTTGCTGCGGATCTTGATTGGCGAAGCTCCAGCTAGGGGTGCAAATGAGCCAAGCCGCTCGCGAGCAACTCGGCGTTCGAATCGGGAAAAACTTGTTCAATACTCGACTCGTTATTTAACAAGCCGGCTCGTGAGCCAACTCGTTAGTTAACGAGCCAAGTCTGAGCTAGACCATGCTCAGCTTGATAAGCTCGCGAGCTAGCTTGATTCGGTGGCTTGTCGAGCTAAGCTCGCGAGCTGCCTTGTTTTGAGCTTGTGGAATGATGAATTACTCTTTTAAACATGAACATTGTCTTTTAATACAAATATGTATGAAATTTAGATGTTATTTATAGTTTCTAGTGTTCTTTCTATCATTTAAATTCTTATGTTTATACATTTTTCCAGCAAAAATGATTTTAAATCGAGCCCATCTTGAGCCGAGCTTGTACTCAGCTTGACAAGCTATGTTAATGAGCATTTATCGAGCTCTACCGAGTCGAGCTCGAGCTAGATTATTTTTATTCAAGCCGAGCTCGAGCTCGAGCTGGATTATCAAAATTCGAGTTCGAGCCGAGCTCGAGCTGAAAAATTAATAAACGAGCCGAGCTCAAGCTAAGCAAAAACTCGACTCGACTCGGCTCGTTTGCAGCCCTAGCTCCAGCCTCCAGGACGAGGTAAAAGACTAAAGAGACGACCAGTGAGTGAAAGGGGAAGGGAGAGGGAGAAGGAGAAGGAGAGGGGAGGAATTATCTTTTTTCGCCGTAAGGTAAAAACTAAAAATCAAGAGTTGAAAAATTGTAGCCTATCAGATTATTGGTTTTGATGACAAAAATTCACTAGGAGTATCTAGTAGTATTTTAATGATTGAATTATTGTTAAATTATATTTTCAGCATAAATTATTTTATTGTGATTTTTTTTCGTACAACGTCCAGTATGATATTACAATTTTTGGTAAAAACCATGTTTTCATAACCGAAATGGATATCGCACCGAAAAATTAGTGATTTATGTTTCAGTGGTTAACTGTTAGATAATCTTTAATAGTTACTTATTATACGGCAAGTAGCTTACACAAAATTTACCTAGCACTAAGGTCAGGATCGTATTTCCCTAAATCTCTCGCAGAACCCTTACTTTAGTGGCGAGACACGGTTCAATTGAGTTAAAACAATTTAGGAGGGCTGAGGTGCCTCCTCCTAGGTCTTTTAGTTACGTATCCCTCGATATCTTGAACATACGAGCTGTCGATTTTTATTTCGTTAGATCTCACCTTGCATCGAAGCATTTACCCAAACTAATGAGCGGCAAGGACCCTATGGATTTCTCCACTAAGGCATCACACTGCTCGATCGAATACGACCGTCATTTCTAGTCATAGTCCTAAGTGACTTGGCATTTATGAATGTAGTCTACATATATTTATAAATACAACATGTTGAACTTACCTCGCCACCTATGTACAATTATACATACTATTGATGTACAAGGAAATGAGATGTGTTTACCTTCAAGCTTGAATGCAGAACCCTTTAGACCTAATTGTTGATACGGTTAGATAGTTTACTAAGAGAAACAAAAACAAAGCAAATTGAATCTCCTCCAACTGTTCCACGAGAAGATTCCCCAACAATCCAAAGATATAATGTACATGTAGAAGTCATCTCCCTCTCATCCTTGCTAAATATTTGGCTCGAGAGAAGGAAAAAAGGAGTCAAGAAAGTGAAACGAAGTTACTCCTCATTGTTATGCCAACACATCAAATTGTAGGTGGGACTACCGTGATATGCTTCAGAGGGTGAGAAACATCTATGCCTCCAGCATGCTGCACAAACTCCATTGGAGAGAAGGAGCTTCCATGGCAGACACAAATGATGCTCACCTCCCCTTTCGTGTACTTGTAGAGAAATCCATGCACGGTTTTCCCATTCGGCCCATTTCCTGTCGCCGATACGCATGGCATGTAGGGCAAGGTCGGGTGCACATCTTTCTCATGTTGGTTTGAGCTTTTGGGAAGATTGCAACCTACTTGTTGGTTGCTCCTCTTTGATAAACTAGTCTCTATATTCAGCACACTTGATGTATTCATCCCATCTATGTCAAATCTTGACTCTTCCTTTTGTTTGTGAGGATTGTCAGGTTGAGCATCATTCGATGGTGCTTTGATCGCTTCTATGCAGTTTGTTTCTTCGCTAGCGGATTCAATGAGATCGGACGTAGCTGTGTGTTCTGACTGGCTCTTGATGCGGCTGCTCCCAGTACCATTGAATTGCGGTTGTTCGAGGATTGATTGCATTGAATGGCTTATACTTTCACTGCTACCACCACGTCCTGAATTTAGGTACATCGTGTCATTAGTTAATCTTATGATTGACAAACAAGGCTTCACCAAACATTAACATACACACTGAACAAAATCACTAGCTATACACAAATTGCATTTGTTTTGTTTTGCTTCTGTATATTGGAAAAGGCTTCAAACTAAGAAAACATTTTAGAAATAGTTTGATTTCTAGCAAATATAGCTTCAACTCCTAAGCAAAATCCCAATCCTAGACTAGCAAGAAAATTTTCATTTCAATACAATGGAAAGAAGCTGCTTTGCCATGGAAGGCTCTATTTCTAGGATTAAGCTTGCCTCTCTTTCTTTCAAGAGTTGGCAATATAGCAATCTATTGTCAATTATTAAACATGTCCATAGAATAAAATGTGTGTGTTCTTTAGAATCATTAGCTCTAGCAATTAGTACTCTGCCTCACAAAAAAAAGGAGACAATAAGTGGTTTGGTGTCTATAAATTGTTATCAGAAGAACGAGGATACGAACCAGAAGAAAAGTAATCTAATAACATATAATATACCTTCATGAGAAGAACTCCGGTAATCCAAAACTATGGAGGAGGTACATACATGTGACTCATTCGACCCGCCTTCGTCACCGTGCTGCTCCGAATCATGCACGTTTGTTACTCCCTGACAAGGTTCAACACACACATGGAACGGCGCCTCAAAATCATAGCACGCCACTTGTCGAATTAGATTCCTCTCAAACCCGCCACCGACAAACCAACAGGGAACTGCTCTGCTTTCGGTTCGCCCAACCCCGTGAGCTGGCACACTGAATTGTAGAGAAGTCAGGCCCGAGAGTCGTTGCAAGGTAGGTGGTGTAGACGCCAACCGCTCGACACTGAAATTGACGCTCTTGCTCCTCTTGCATTCATGCTCCTCCGGATCGTGGTGAGATACTCCGTTCAAATAAACAGCATTCGCCGGATAGGAACATCCGATAGCGGCGGTGAGCTTCCCCTTGGAAAGCGCCATCTTCAACTGCTTGTCACCCCTCTTCTTCTTTGCTTCCTGCCTCCTCATTGCCTGAATTTCGCGCTTCATCTTGGGATCCATGTCCTGCTCAGAATTCTCACCCGTAAAACCCGACAACTCTCCAAATCTCGTGCAAGCTTGAACCCCAAAACCCAAATCAGCTGACTTAGGTATGGATTTCCGCTCGTGGGCCTCCTTCTGAACCGAAATGAATTTTTGCACCCGGGTATTGCAATTCCCGCCGAGAGAAAGCCCTAGCTCCAGCTCAATCTCATCCTCTCTCTTGTCAACATCATCCATCGCCTTTGCTAACTCGTCGCACCTGTTGATGTCCTTCTTGCAGTTACTCTCCTCCCTTCACAAATAAATAGAGAGGTTCATATGTACGATTTCGTTTATGTCTTTCTTAATCAACCAAGTAGAAAGTTCTCATTAGCAACCTCTATCATAAAAAAAAAGTTTTGAAATAAATTTCTTCGATTCATGTGTGTTCGTTCGTAACAGAATATGATTTTCTAGAGGAAAAAAGAGAGAAGAAAGGGGGCAGATAGAAAGAGACGGCCACATGTCGGGCAAGCAAGAGTTGGAGAAAGGCGGTTATTAGGAAGGAAGGATTATGGCATGGGCGGCGAGGGGGAAAGCGTTAAGCAAGGTTAAACCACTAATTCCTAATTATTCGCTAATTAAGGCTGCTATTGGCCGTGCTTTTCATTTCCCCTCATTGGATCTAAAAATACTGTTTAAAGTGGAAGGTCTATTGAATAATTTTCTCTTTTCTTCCCCTTAATCATATAAATGGAACATGTTGTTGTTTTTTTCCCCCTCCTAAAATAAGATAATATTTGAACAATATATCATATCTTATACTGCCGGTTAAACCATGACTATATCATTATATATTATGGTGGCTTCTACCGTACCTTGAGTGGAATCCAATGTATATTATACCTTGAGTCATCTACACCGTACAGATGATCTCGATGGTTGATATTATTTCGTTGTTAAATGAGTTAATATTTATAAATCAAATTACAAAAAGCCTCCTACAATGTATAATTGTTTTTGCTCAAGTCCATTTAACAAATACGAGTCGGTTCAATGGTTTGTACAATCAATCTCTTTTGACTTTCCAACCAATGGACCAAACCCCTACCCCAAAGCAAAATCCCCTAAAAATTGTAGGCTACCCTCCCCATTTGCAGACCAATATCCCCTTGTTCGTTTCTTTCCTCTACCTCTTCCATTTTGTCCCCGATCTCCCACCTCTCTTCCCCAGCAGGACAATCCTTCTGCTGACTGCCAGAACTTGTGGCCTCCCTGCAACTCTCAGCGCCGGAAATCTCGATCTCAATCGCATCCTCGAAATCTCGACTTCCCTACCCATCTACTCGACTGTCTCGGACTACCTCCAGCTCTTCGCCGGCTCTCCTTTCTCAATCGCCGGCCGTTGAAAGCGAACGACGACATCTTCCTCTACGATCTTTCCTCCACTAAAGCCTCGCCGACTAGAACAAGGATTTCTGTTCTGAAACCCTCGCCAACGACAACAACGAGTTTTGTTCTGAAACCCTCGACGACGACAACAACAATTTCCCATTCCTAGCGATTCTGGTTGCTGCTCTTGTTCTCTAGATTATGCTACCGTACTTCTTCAATCGGCGGCCACCTGAGAAGTCGTCCTCAATCATTCCCCCACCCAGTTAACAAAACCAGGGGAATACCTCTTCTCGCCCTCCCCTGTTGCCGCGGAGATCATCCCTATGTCACCGGAAAAGGTGCGTCATACGATTTCATCGTTCTATCTTCTAAATTTTATGCTTTGTTGATCCAACTACTTAATTATCTGTTTCGCTTGTACCAATAGTCATTTGTTTGCTGGGAGATCAGGTACAACAACGATTCCCGTTCCAGGCGATTCTGGCCGCTGCGACCAAAATGGCACCATTCTCCATCTCCTTCCTTTTTTCTTCTCATCACGCGTCACCCCAAGTCCCCAACCCTCTTCCCTCTTCCTTCCCCTCTCTTCTTCTGCTTTCTCCGAAGAATTCCCAAATTGCCGATCCTTCCGTCAAGCGTTGGTGATTCCCGCTGTTGAGTTCAAGGCTAGAGATTCACGCAATACTCGTCCTGTCGGTAAAACCCTACTGTCCTTGCTTTCGTTGTTTTGGGTAAAGAAGTGTTATTTGGTTGTTTTCTGGGCAAGTGTTTTTCTTGGTTCTCGTATGGGTTTGGTCGTTTCGAATCTCGATTCACTTGTTGTAGATCATTGTAGTCAACCCTGTTGTTATAATTCCCCTCTTGTGTGTTCTTGATTTGCTTTGTTTAGTTGATCATTTATTCTGATTGATGGGTTATGGTTGGAATTGGCTGGTGTTGTTGCGAAAATTTTAGATGTTGGTCACTGTTAGCAACTTTCTAGGATAAAGGTTGATGTTTGGTGGGAACTGATTAAGGATGATATCTGTTTGCTATGTAGTGATGTAGGGGAGTCCAGAAATCATATATTCTGTGAATGTGTTTATACTAAAGACTTTGTGTCTACAGTGTTGAGAGTTGTAGTCTCATTGCTAGTTCTTTGGACCTCTCCAATATACAACTGTGGTTGCTGAGCTTTCTAGTTCCTTTATGTGGCAGTTGATGAACTGATTGTTTTCGTTCTTGGAGCCAACCCATTCCCATGGGACACTGTTAGCAGGTTGTACTTGTTTTGACACGAATTATCTGTTTGGGTTGTGCCAATAGCCATTTTTTTTGCTAGGAGATAAGTTTTTATTTTTATTTTTCCGAGTTGACTGTACCTGTTTTTACACGAATTGTTAGTTTAAGTGAGGTAGCTTGTCAATGGAATGTTTGTTTGGTATACAGATTGTAGAATTGTAGGCTTTAGAACCGTCCAGTTAAGCATGTTGTTAGTAGGAACGTTTTAGTTTTTGTTTTTACAGTAGAATGTGTATAGGCTGTTTCCATTACAGCATTGTATACTGACACGCTAAAACACAACACCTAACAATGGCCAAGTGTAACCAATGAAAGGGACTGCAGTATAGGCAAGTTTAATTATCAACCCGGGGTCTAGATCTACTGCTTACTCCGTGATTCTCTATTATCTAGCAAACTAAGTCGAGTGATTGTAGTGAAAAGTAAAAGCAACAAGAAAGCAGTAAATTGTTCGGGTTTCTAAAGCAGGCAAGAGTCACTCGGGATTGAGTCCCCCTAGCCCCTTAGTTAGGTTCAATTGCAATTCCCTGGGTTGATTTACTGTTGATTAGACTGCGGAAGATCCGACAGTAGCTTGGAATCTCTTAAGCTGACCAAGCCCTCTCAGTCTAACTACCCGGCAGACGACTAGTCTTCACCGGGATAGAAAGCTGAGGCTATGAACACAGAACTCCACTACTGGCGCCAAGAACACCAGTACAAAGCAGTAAACTGGCTAACTCTCGTATAGCCAATCTCCTACTATCGAATGAAGGGGCTCTAACAACCTAATCAGATTCTATCTATCTCAAGTTGCAGCAGAAATTGAGAAAAGCTGATCAGACTCAAATCAATTCATGAAACATGCGTCATTCGATTAAAATCAAACAGTAATATCATCCCAAGTCATTACAATCAAATCCCTAACACAAGGAACTAGGGTTCTTCATACCCAAGTGAGAGAAGGGTTCTACTCCATAGAGAGAGAAGAGAAAACAAGAATCGGATTAGTCATACTCATAACGATGAGGATAATCTGCTCCGGGACGATGATTTCCACTCCTATGACGATATCCAGGCTCGATTCGATGAAATCCAGCTCTAGGACAGCTTCTAGGATGTGTTCTTCGCACTTTCTCTCTCTAGGGCTCTGTTTTTGCTCTCAAAACACGATTTTTCCACTTTTGGCTCGAATTAGGCTTTAAAACCGACTTTCCCGAGTTGCACGGCCAGGTGCACGGCCGTGCACAACACCATTCTGGTCGTGCACCCTCAAAACGCACCGTATCAATTATTCGGCCTTCATCCACCTTGCACGGCCAGGCGCACGGCCGTGCAAGCTTCAAGCCTGCCCGTGCATGGCCTCGACATGAGGTGCACGGCCAAATGGCTCAAGTGCACGGCCGTGCAGCCTCCTGGTCTGCCCGTGCACTCCCCAAAAAGCTCGCCCTTCGTCCGTTCTTCGTCCAATCGACCCCAGACTCGCTCCTAAGCCTTCATTCCCGTACTAGGACCTGAAATAACACAAACAAGCACAACCTAGCGTGAAATCGGCCTAAAACACGAGAATCAACACCTCAAACGGTGTAAGTATGAGGGTAAAAACATGTGTAAATGACGGTCTATCAAACTCCCCCACACTTAACCGTTTGCTTGTCCCCAAGCAAACCAAGTCAGACACAAGCTTACATATTTCAATCAACCAACATTGGGGACAAGTCATAAAGGCATAGAACACGTGAATCGCACTGGTTTTCAAACATCAATACATGCACAACCTCAATAACAACCTGGACAACCACCACAAAGGACATTCGAGTGCAGCAAGTCGAGTAAAGGAAGAGTCTCCCGTCTGTTCACTGGCCAACCTAGACTTGATTCAACCACTTACTCAAAACAGTCAACTCATGCATCCAACTCAAGACATCAGAATAGAGACCGAGCAATCTAGGTCCTCACCGGGGTACAAGAGCATATAGAAAATGAAAATGAATCACTCACTCTCGACCAGTGGGGTCAGGACAATTTGATGCGAAAGATGCGCATGCTATTTCTCTCAATACCTATCATCTCTTCACCATGATGGCAGCCTCTAAATGCTAGAGTTCACATATGGGGTGTCACCACTAACTAATCAGGAGGTCTTAGACACAGATTCAAATGACTGGCTAGGGTCTTGGACATGGGGAAAAGGCCTTTTAAGTGGTGGAAGTATTCATAGCAAAAGATTCCACATTTCCCAAACACACAACCACAGTCAACAACCCGGTATTTTCTTTCTGCTATCCTGCATTACTCAATATCTTAAGAGCACAAGAGCGAAGGAGGCATAAACATCAGCATTTCCAAGCCAGACTGCTAAGAAGCACTGCTTACTGGGCATTATTCAGATTTTTGGCAGTGGCTCTCTTTTGCTTTCATTTTTTCTTTCTTTTTCTTTTATTTTTCTTTTCATTTCTTAAGAGAGCCACCACTTCTGCATAAATTTCAAACACCTGCCCAACTTTTAAGCACTACCTCCAACACTCACATAGACTTAAGCAGAAACAGCAGAGAATATGTAAAAACCACTCTGTGGAACCTTCTAAAAGATGCAACAAGGGTGATTTTTTTCATTATAGACCAAAAGAAAGGATAACACACGGCTCAAAGGGGCTGACTAGG